ATTATTTCTTATTTAAGAGGATTTATCAAAAAAAGAATTATAAAATAAATTTTTTTAAGAGCATATTTTTACAATAAATTTATATAAAAAGTATAAAAAGATACACTTAAAAAAAATCTTTATTTTTCAACTATTTAAATAATTCAATGAAAATTTTTTTCACTGAAAATATGAAATCTTAAATTTAAATTTCATAATATACATACAAAATATGAGAAAAGATGAGAAAAAATTATTTATTATTATGCAATAAACATTAAAAAAAATCTTTACTTTTTTAATAACTTAATTTAATTAATTAAAATAATCTTCTTTTTTTTCTCCCAAACCAACATGCTATAATTGATATTTGACTAGTAGTAATCTAATTTTCATGGTGACCTTGAAAGGGGACCAAACTGTAGGAGTCTTGTAGCCATCCTTTATACGGTTCTCCTCCCACTCACACCCATCAATGATTGTGCTTTGTTCACCACTATTCACTATCTAGAGATCTCCATTTCACTTCACACCTTCAACCGCAAAAATGGAAGCACTCTTCGCCCATTTCACCTTCCTCTCCGACCACGCACTCCAAGACAAGTCCTTCGACCCCGCCACCATTGAAGACCTCATGAAACTCTTCGAGATCGAAGCTTACAAGTCCTGGGCCGCCATGGAACTCGAGGCAGAGAAGGAGGCAGAGGAAGCAGAGGTTTCCCTGCAGCAGGCAGAAGCCGACCTCGATTCTGCCATGGAGAGTGCCATGGATGAATTCCGGAGGTTCGAGGAAGAGATGGAACGGTTGGCGAAGGCAGAACTGGACTCTCTGGTTCGGAAAGGAGAGAGTGCCCGGAAAATGGGGAATCTGATGGAGAAGGCGGCAAGTGTTGCTTCCAAGAAGTATATTGAGGCGGCCATGAATTCTGCAACTGCTTCCATGAAATCTGCTTGGAAGGCAATTTCCGCCCGCAAGGTTCATCCATCCTAAGGGATTTTAATAATTTTATCTTTTTCTCTTCCCCCTATGCATAATTGGGAAAAATCTTGAACAATAATTATGTAACTTTAATTTCTTTTGAAGTATATTGTCAATTTCTGGTAATGTGTATTCAGTTTCTGGTAATTTTAATTAATATTTATCATTTATAAAAATAAAAAAACTGAGTAAAAGAATATTTTAAAATTAAACTGTTTTAATAAAATATTATGAAAAAAATTAAAATATTCTTATTTTTACTTTAAAAATAATAAGATGCTTTTAGTTTTTTTTAATAAACTTTTATTAAAATAATGTAATTTTGATTTTTTTTTAAATTTTTTACAGCATAAATTGATACCCATTTTTTTAATAATTCACAATTTGATCTCTTAATTTCAGGAAAAAAATTTTATATCACGGGATATGTATCTAAACTAATAAAAAAAATTTTGGCAACTTATTTTATGGGGTAAAGATATGTTTATCATTTTTACCAAAAAAAAAAGAAGATATGTTTATCATTTTTTGTATAACTTTTTATGGTTATTTTATATATTATTAAATAAATAAATATATAATATTATAAATTTAATAAAATAAAAAATTTAATTATTAAATGATAAATAAAATTGTATGGAAATTTATATTAAAAAATTGTTTAATGAGTTAAAAACTTGGATACTCATGTTATGAGTTTCAGTTGTAAACTTACTGCAAAGGCTTGCAGGCAAGGTCATCCTACTTCTTGAATCAAGCAACGGATGATTCTCCCTAACCAGCAATCCATGGTGCTACACTGCTACTGCTGACTTTTTATGAAGACCAAATCTATTAATGGAGTTAGAAAAAAAAAATAATATTGCATCTCGAACAACTTATAATAATCCTTTTTTCTCTAAATGAAATAAGAGATTTTAAGTTAAAGTCAGAGTTACATAATCAATAATCAATGTAACTAACTTAAGCAATGAAAAAAAATTATTTTTTATTATATAATAAAAAATAAAATTTTAAAAAATTTTTATTATCAATTCATCTACTTCATGTCAATTTCAACTCTAGTAATGGGAAAACCACTGCATATTCAGTTAATGATTTTTATTCATTAGGCCAATGTCTTGTTGGTATTTATTTGTTCAATGTGTTAGTAAAAAGCAAGTTACAAAAGCATAATCAACAATATAACCTATCTCTTATTTCAGAAATAAAATAAAAAAAGAGTCTTTTTTAGGGAAGATAACAACATAAATTTTGTCATTTTTTATATTTAAATATGTTAATTTTATTAATTTTTAACTCAATCAATAAATTTTTAATTTTTTGAAAATATATTTAATTTAAAAACTAATTAGATAATGATGTTCATGTATTAAATGACTTTTTTAATCATTTAATTAATTCTTAAATAAAAAAATATAATTCTTATCACTATCTACACATTTTTCCATCTTTTTTTTTTTTAAAAGTTATTTTCCTACGTACTTATATCCAGCCATCCGCCCATCATATGGTCAGGTTTAACTCCACTAGATTTCCTCCACGTCAGCATCACAGAGAGTGGACCCATCCTTTTTTTTTTCTTTGGCCTTTTCCGAAAATAATAAAGGATTTTTTTCAAGAATTTAAGAAATAAAATAAAAAAAAGTAAAATATTTTAGTATTGGGCTGTTTGTTAATTCCTCGCAGACGCTGAAGCAGGGCTTTTCTTTCGTCTCCAATTGTGATACAAGAAGCAGAAGTCATCTCTATCCTAAAACCTTCCAGGTTTGCGTATTTCCGCATCTAGGGTTTTTATTTCGACTCTCTCTTAGGGTTTCTGTGGATATTTTTCTATCTCCAGCTTCAGATCTTTCGTTTTCATTTTCCGCGGGGATCCTGCTAATCTATTTTCCTTTGAACCCATCTAATTTTCCTCTATAAAGCAAGGAAAATCAAGGTTGTTTCATTTGTGGATTCAGCTTGAATTTGCATGGGTTATCTCATAAATAATCTGGGTATTGACTGCATGAAGAGGTTTACTGCTAGGTTAGCAATTTCTCTGCATTGAAAAGATTGTTAATTGATGGGTTTTTTGAGTCAATATTGCATTTTTCAGGTGAAATCGGATTACTGTTTATGGTTGCTCTTCATTATAATCCAATATTTAATCAATTTCATGCAAAAGAAAACTTTTTTTTGGGTAAAAAGATGGAACATGAGTGACATTCTATTGCTTTGATTGATATTTTGGTTCTTAATTTATGGGTTCAATTTGTTAAACTTGTTTTGCTCTTATTATGCAGGGAAGACTTCGATTTTTTGGTGTTATTGAGTAAAATAGTATAAGGGGTAAAGTTTGAGGTGATAGCAATGCCTCGGGATTTGTCACGGTCACGGTCACCTTCATATAGGAGAAGGCATTCACCTTCTCCTGTTGGGAATAAGTATAGCAGGAGGAGCCGAAGGGATAGAGGCCGATCGCCAAATTCATCTTATTCTTATAGCAGGTGATCCCGCTGATATTCTTGCTGTTTATGTTAATTTTGCCTATGTTCCAGCAGTTGTAAGAAAGATTGGGAACTGACATACTTCATACTTGTCTTGAGGATTGGAAATACAAATTGTCCGAGCAGATTTTCCTGTCTGTTGGTCTTTGGGTACTTCTGTCTCCTTTTCTATAACTAAAAAGCAAATGTTGTTTGCTTGGAGTTTGCTTATATGCTTTCACTCCCAGAAGCAGTTCCTAGCCACAAATCGATATCTTTTGTGGCAACTGGTGCATTCGAGGCTCTGTTGTAGTTGTAATAAGAATTTGGCGTAATTTTTAGATCAATGACTTTAAACTGAGCATGGTAAAGGCCTTCGCCTTTATAGAAAAGAGTGTTTCTCTTGATATATCAAATTTTCATCTCTTTTGTTCAGTTGTACAAGTTTCTTGTGTAAAGTTGAGTTGTCATGGGATTGTTAGTATTTCACAGAACATTGCTTTGTGTTCACTTATATCTGGAAACTGCTTTGTTTGGTTTCCTGCTTCCTTACTCAAGATGTTTCGTGGTTCAGAATTTCTCCCCCTGATTCATAGATTTGTATCACAAACATCATACTGAACTTGAAGCATTGTTTGGTTAGTCAAATAAAGTTCCTTGGTTAATATTGCTCGAATTCTTTGGAGTGCTCATCAGCATTTGAATGGTCATGTGACATTTGGGGACCTCCTTTTTCATGGGAATTTGGACAGATGTGAATGTATGTAATGGCAGTGAAATATAGAGTGCCCTGGGAGTGAGATAGGATGCATGCCCTTCATTAGGAAAATTAAAATAAACTCAGTTTCCTCCCATTTTATGGGATAGGAAGTGAGCAGGTGATGGGTGACCTTTCGTTGCTTGGTTGTGACATTAGCTTCTTCATGTCATAAAAGATGGAGCTCAATGCTTGTTCTTAACAATGTATAAGGTAACTGTATATGTTTCTATACTTGTTCTGCTAGATGGTGGGCTGTCTTTCATACCTGTTTTTGTAGTTAGTTATGCCCAAATTATGTAGCTGTTGTTTAATTTAGCTCTATGTTGTTATATTCAGAAGGAAGAGTCGTTCTCTTACTCCACGTCGCCGCAGAAGTCGATCTCCAGCCACAAGACGTCATAAAAGTCGTTCTCTGACTCCAAGGCGTTATAAGAAGCAAAGAAGTAGGAGTTCTTCATTGACTCCTACTCATAAGTCCTCTAGTCCTAGTCTTGGGTTGATAGAGCAGAAAAATGCTACTGAAAAATTGAAAAAAGAAGAAGAGAAGAAAAGGTATATTGATATTGTACTTTTTGCTTTTCCCTTTCTCTGATTTCACCTTTAACTTTGTCTTCACTCTTCAGCTCTTTTTTTCCCCCCAAACTGCTGATACAGTGCCAAAAAGGTGAATCTAGGTTAACCTGTTGCTGGGTTGCGCCTTAGTTTTTTCCTGCCTGAGTTGGCATCTATAACTCACCCAGTCTGTATGAGTGGCAGCTCTGCTGCTCCCTTTGCTTAGAGCTCTTATTTTCACCTTTGTAAATGTCCATCATGGAATTAGACTATTGGTAGCCTTGATGGCATCACTTTATGTTTTTGGTCATCTCACAAATGTGTGGTTGATACATTAAAATATCATACAAAGTCTTCTTATAAAAAGAATGCATTCATTCTGGCAAAGTATGGAGTTGTTTGGGTGACTAGTATTAAATCTGCAGCAATTTACTTGGCATTTTTCTCGACAGGCTTTTCTGAAGGAAGATACTGCTATAATTCAACTTGTTATGTTTGATGACCTGATTGGATGCATTGTTTATCTACTGTTCACCATTTTTGATACTCGTTTGTTTGGATCAGGTTCAATTAGAGGTATGCCTTAAAAGCATAGCATATTTAGTGCCTTGTCATCATGAAGGTTAGTTGGTATTTATTAAGGCTACAAAATGAGTACAGGAAAGAAAAAAGAAAGGACCATGAATTGTCAAATGGTTTCTAGTAGTGCTATTGCCTGGATAGGAAGACACTGTCACACCTGTTATAGGAAGGTTGCGGTGTTTGCCCACTGTGTCAGGGTCCTCTTCCTGCTTAACATTTTCTTTGTTTTCCCAGGCGTCAACAGGAAGCAGAACTGAAACTAATAGAAGAAGAAACTGCAAAAAGAGTGGAGGAAGCAATTCAGAAAAAGGTTGAAGAGAGCTTGAATTCTGAAGAAATCAAACTAGAAATTCAGAGGCTATTGGAGGAAGGCCGAAGGAAACTTCATGATGAAGTTGCAGCTCAGCTTGAGAAAGAGAAGGAAGCTGCCCTTATTGAAGCTAGGGGAAAGGAGGTTAGATGCTTCAGATGGAAGTTCTGCTTTGGATTTTGATTTTATATTAATGTTGTGTTTGTTGCATGCTGTTCTCTGCTTTGCTCTCCCCACAAGTTCATGGCCTTGTGCCCTGCTGATTTAGCTGGATTGAAATTCTTTCCTGGCATTTATGATTCAATCTTTAGTTGTATCTTTTTGGTCCACAGGAACAAGCTCGAAAAGAAAAAGAGGAGCTAGAAAGAATGCTTGAAGAGAACAAGAGGAAGGTGGAAGAAGCTCAAAGAAGGCAAGCACTAGAGCAGCAACGAAGAGAGGAGGAGCGTTATCAGGAGCTAGAGGAGCTTCAAAGACAAAATGAAGAGGCCATGAGGAGGAAGAAGCTGCAAGAGGAGGAAGAACGTCGAAACCAGATGAAATTGTTGGGAAAGAACAAGCTTAGGCCGAAGTTATCATTTGCACTTGGCTCAAAATGACTTCTTGTTGGCAGTAAGTCATTTCCTCACACATATATGCCCCTGGAGCGGCACTCTGGCATTTTTCATTTTGAGGAAATCATGTCGTTAGTACAGCGTTTAGATTTGCATTGTGTGCTCAAATCTTTTATGGCTAGGTTGAATGCTTGTATGGATTTAGAATTTCAAAAGGCTTGTGATTTGTTCAGGGAAGTAATCCATAAACATTGATCGAGATATCTGTGAGTGTAGAGAACCAATTTATAATGACAGTATGTAAGTTTACAATGTTATATAGCATCCAGCTATGTATATTATTTTCATTGGTAAAGTTTAAATCTACATAATTGGCCCAAGATATTATAATTTTTCTAGCCAACAACTCGAGCCATAGTTATGGTTATTATTAAATTTGATATATTATATTTGATTTGAGTGAAATAAAATGGAGAAGATGGGAAATTTTTTTGATTAATTAAATAAGAGTAATAAAAAATCTTCTTTATATATTATATTTAATTTGAACGAAATAAAAGGGAGGAGATGAAAAAATATTGTAATTTAATTAGGTAAAAAACTCTTTTCTTTCCTTTCCTCCTTTCTCTTTCACTTTTTATTCTCCTCACTTAGATATATTGTTAAAGTCACTATTAAATTTTTATATTAATTTAATTATTAAAAATACTTAATAATTAATATTTGTTGCACTTGGCCCGTGTGGCCCAGTGACTAGAGCCATTGAAAAGTGCACATCCCTCTCTCTTGGGCGGGTTTCAAACCCGTCCCATGACAAAACTGTTCAAAAAAATAATAATAATTAATATTTGTTACTTAATATATTAAAATTAATTTATAAATAAATATTTGTAAATATTATAATTAATTATTTAAAAATTATAAATTAATAAAATTACTACTAACATTTAATAATTCCAAGTGAAATCCACACAAAACACAATATTCACGAAACAACGAATCCACCGCTCAAAGAAGCAGTGAGCAGTGAGCAGTGACCCAGCCGTGACATCTTCCACATCATTGACGCAAGGGAATGGTTTTGAAATAATTTTTTTATATAATTTAATATATTATTTAAATAATTAATTTTTTTAACTTATATAAAATTTATAATATTAAATATATCAATTTATTTAATAATATATAAAAATTATATTAAAAAAATAATATTAAAAAATTATTCTTATAACACCACCTGATACATAATTATCGCGACTAAACCCCAGCTGGCAGATGGCCAATGCATTTCATCCATGTTGTCCTGCCGCCTGATACCAACGTGGTGTCGGTCCACACAAATGAGTCCCCCCCGCCGGAAAGATTAGAAAAAAATTAACCGTGTGCTGGGATGAACATAGCTATAGTAACCATTAAATTCATTAGAGTAAAATCGTTAAATTTTTAATTTAATTTAATTATTAAAAATAATTAATAGTTAATAATATCATTTATATTGATTATTTAATATAATAAAATTAATTTATAAATAAATATTTTTAATGACAATACCAGTGGTCGGTGGAAACATAAAATACAAGCGCGTGGAGATCTGCGCCTTCCAGAAGGGCGCCGTGGGTGAGCGATGTGAGAACACTGAGAAGGCCGTTTTGACTTTCTCTTGGGGCTTTCCAGAAGGGTTTACTATAAGATTTAATTATTAAGTAACAATTATTAATTTTTATAAAAAAATAAGATTTTAAATTAAAAAATAAAATAAAATAAAATATTAAAATAAATAAATAAATAATTATAAGTGATATTTTTAATTAAAATAAAAATTAATTTTATTATATTTAAAGTAAAAATAATATAATTATTATATAATTATTATATTTTATTCTATACTTTTAACAGTAAAAGATAAATAAATCTTGTTCATAATTCAGTTTCAGTGTACGCCATTGCACGTGCACCTTCGACACAAAAAAAACGTATTTCGTGTTTATTTTAATTTAAATTTTTAATTTGACTTATGAACTATTGTATGTACTTTTAATTTTGTTCTTAAACTAAAAAATTTTTGATTTGATTCTTGAACTATTATTCGGATCTTCAATTTGATTCATATTATTTACTAATTTACCTCAAGTTAGTCATTTTATACAAAAAATAATCGATGTGTTTGTTATTTAATGACGAAAAACAGTAACTTAATGATCACATGTCATATTAATAATAAGATGCGTCAGTTAGTTTTTATATGAAAAGATAACTTGAGGTAAATCGGTAAATAATAAGACCAAATTAAGGGTTCGTATAATCATTTAGGGACCAAATCAAGAATTTTTTTAGTTTAAGGACCAAATTAAAAATTCATACAATAGTTTAAGAATCAAATTGAAAATTTAACCTTGTTTTTAACATAAAAATATTTTTCAGTCACGATGCAAAAAATAAAATAAAATAAAAAAGAGATACGCGAAATATAAAAATATTTTTAATAAATTATTTGTATTAATTTATTAGTAACAGAGACTCAAGAGTTGGAAGAAAAAATCAACTTTTAGTTCCGCCTTAGCTTAATACTCCAATGATTTAACTTATCCCAAAATTACAAAAGTTTCAACAGCATGAAAAGAAAGGAGGGTTAGACAAAATGGAGCGAGGAAGTTTTGAGGAAAAAGAATTTGAAGTCACCCTCCACTGAAAGACGGTGGATTGGATGGGAAGAACATAATGGTTTTGAGTTGTCGACTCCGGTGATTAAAATTACCGGGTTATTTGTTTCTCCTCACTTTACCAGTTAACAGGTTATAATAAATGTTTATGTAAATTG